AAGAGTTCTTACATTCTTGTAAAGCCACCAGCACGCATGGCGTTTCGGGCAAGTCCTTAATCATAATTTTCCCCGGAATACGACCCACTCACTGTTAATTACTGAACTGTCAATGGCTGTACAACCATAAATTGTTAATCGTTTAACAACCAGGAACCCATTCACTGCTGGGTGAACAGAGGCTACAGTTAAGGATTGGCACCCGATCACATCTTCCCCGGCCAGGATACGAACCCAGGCTAAAGCGCTAGCGAAGCGCCGGGCGAGTGTCTTACCGCTGCGTCACGGGGACTGTTCGCCATCAATAGTTATTCGATATATTTTTATTTGTAGGGGATGAACAAGGTGTTCTATAGCTCTAACAGTGCTCACTTGATGTGACTCTTGACACTATTCCCTAATTATTACAGATCGCTATTATGTTCATGTTCAACCCGTCCTCAGACCAAGTCCATTCCATCCAGCGGTCGACCCCAAAGACGCATTCATCAATTTTAACATGCTGTTAATTCAAACAAAGGAATTTTCTCAAATGTTAATTAATAATATTATATTTTGGCATACTGTACATATTTCGGCATTGGTTGGGTTAGGTGTTAAGGTTCTATTGGCGATTATTTGTATTTGTAGTACGTGGGTGAAGCATTTATAGCGTTGTGGTTCGATGAAAAGTCGTCAGCGAAGCACTTGTTTCGGAAGTGTTTGAACGTCAATAGTTGTGAGTCGTGTGTAAACCGCTTTTCATTCATAAACAGGGGGTTTGGCGGGTGCATGGAATGGACTTTGGCCTTTATGAGGACGGGTTGTCTTGCTGTTGATGTACACATTACACTCAGGTGTCGCCAGAGTGTAGAGTGACGGCTTCCTACCTACAAACTTGAATATAACCACATGTCCCGGCCCCTGGACATAACACTATAGCAAAGCAGCCTCCTGTTAACAAAAATTAACGTACTAAGCAATTAGAAGAATTTGGTACTATTCACTTTAGAGAGATCGAAAAAACTGAAGCTAAAATACTAATTTAAATATTCCTAGGACTAGTATAGCACACATATGTACTATATTAAGCCTCAGATAGCGTATATTAGGATGTTAGGTTAGTTTACTTTGCCTTTGCAACAAAAATATAAATCCTTTCCGGTTCGTCCAAATACAATAGTACCGATTTCTACTTTCAAATTGCGTTGTACGTCGGTATATGTACTACAGTCCTCATCGTTGCTATAAGTACTACCAAAAGAACAGAAGGCTGGACTGATTGTGTGGATATACTCCTTTTCAATGGTGTGGCCTGGCGCTCCTATGCTATGTATGATACTGGTGATATACTGGGTTCAGCAGATCACTGATATATGTATGCGAGTACTGGTATTGTCAGTGGAGTAACATTGCCTGATGGAACTGAAGTTACAGAAGGAAGTCTACAAATATTTCCATCTGTTGCCATTCCTTGAGCTCCGTGGTTAGGTCAACAATAGGACGTTGACTGTAGGCAAAGTATGTGGCAAGTTAGGAGGTAAGATTTAAGTGGTGAGGAGTGAGGAAGATCACAGCCTTGAAACTACTCAGGTTAAAGAGTTACAGTGTCTGGGGGGAATACTGCCTTCACTGCTGCCTCACAGTGCCAGGGGGTCATACCACTCCCGGGAACAAATTGTTCCACTCCCGGGAACAAATTGTTCCACTCCCGGGAACAAATTGTTCCACTCCCGGGAACAAATTGTTCCACTCCCGGGAACAAATTGTTCCACTCCCGGGAACAAATTGTTCCACTCCCGGGAACAAATTGTTCCACTCCCGGGAACAAATTGTTCCACTCCCGGGAACAAATTGTTCCACTCACGTGAACAAATTGTTCCACTCCCGGGAACAAATTGTTCCACTCACGTGAACAAATTGTACCACTCACGTTAACAAATAATACCAGTCATATGAACAAACAGTACCAGTCACAGCACACGTACCAATCAAACGAACAAGTAGAACCAGCCACATGAACAAGTAGTACCAGTCATATGAACAAGTAGTACCAGCCACATGAACAAGTAGTACCAATCACATGAACAAGTAGTGCCAGCCACATGAACAAGTAGTACCAGCCACATGAACAAGTAGTACCAGCCACATGAACACGTAGTACCAGCCACATGAACAAGTAGTACCAGCCACGTGAACAAGTAGTACCAGCCACGTGAACAAGTAGTACCAGCCACATGAACAAGTAGTACCAGCCACATGAACAGGGACAGTGAACTACTTCATTGTGATAACTGAATAACTGTAACCGATAATAATCCTTTATTTTATCATGCAATAAACTGGAGCTATAAATTTATCGCCTAGTTATGGGCGAGACAGTCGGGTGGGTTAAGAGCAAGGAGTGGGCTGGGTTAACAGCAAGGAGTGGGCTGGGTTAAGAGCAAGGAGTGGGCTGGGTTAACAGCAAGGAGTGGGCTGGGTTAACAGCAAGGAGTGGGCTGGGTTATGAGCAGGGAGTAGGGTGGGTTGAGTGGGTTGAGACGTGTGTGAAGAGGTTGTTGCTATGGCTGCCTTTCAGAGGGGAATACGAGAGAAAGGTGTGGGAATGAGAGATGTAGCGTCGTGAGGGCCGCAGGGGGCAGTGTGCCGGGGAAGAGATGTCTGAGGGGAAACCTGTGTAGGGGCGGAGTGTCCGAGGGGAAAGGATTGTATGAGAAAGGGATGTAAAGGGCTGGAGAGTGTGTCTGCGCACAATATGAAGGGGTGGACTGAGTGGGCGGTGCTACCTGAGGGGTACGCGAGAGGGAGAAGGGCGAGGGGAAGAAAGTGTGTGTTAGGAGACAAAGGTGCGTCGCAAGATACGTGTGCGTGTGGGGGGGGGGGGGGGAGTTGAGTGAGGGTGTGAGGGGGGAGAAGGGAGTTGAGTGAGGGTGTGAGTTGAGAGGGGAGTTGAGTGAGGGTGTGAGGAAACAGAAGGCACAAGAATGTGCTGGCTTAGGGGACGCTGTACAGGAATTTCATATGAAGGGGGAATGACATTAAGATTAATATTGTATATTTTAAGAGAGAGGGAGTTGGGAGGTGCTTCTCACCTAAATTGTGTCGTGTTTTGTTCCCATCGGGAGTAAGGCGGTTCCTCTCGCTACGGTCACGCCTACTTACACAGACACACAATATTATATATATATATATATATATATATATATATATATATATATATATATATATATATATATATATATATATATATATATATATTTAATTGTACATATACATGGATATAATTATAGGTATCATTTGTGTAATTTAATAATATTCAAAATAAATAAAATTCATAAAATATAAATATATTTCAATAAAATATCAAAATAAAAAAAATATGAAACTATTTTAAACCTCAAATTTCACAACAAAAATTAACATTTTAAATTTCATCTGATAATGATGGGCGTGGGAGAGCGGTCACCTCAAGCACCACTGAACCCTGCACTCTGGTTTAGTGGTGTGCTTCACATTTCTAACCTATCCTGGTTGTCTGCCCTAAATGATAACTTCCTACTTTACACGTTAATTTCCATTACTGGTTGTCAGGCAAATATACCAACAAGGAGTGCCAGCTAAGGGTGCAAGCCAAGAGTGCCAGCCAGGAGTGCCAACCACAGGTGCAAGCCATGGTTGCAAACCAAGAGTGCTAGCCAAGAGTGTTCAGTCACGGGTGCAAGCCCAGAGTACAAGCCAAGGGTACCAGCCAAGTGCAAACCAAGAGTGCCAGCTGAGGGTCCCAACAAAGAGTGCAAGCCACGGGTGCAAGCCATGGTTGCAAACCAAGAGTGCCAGCCAATGTTGTCAGGCAAAGATACCAGCTAAAGTTATCAGCCAATGCTGTCAGTACTGAAATCAGTTGCCAGCCTCAATCTCCTTGACCAAGAATGCAAGTCATGGATCAGGAGCAATACCTTTGAGCTTCGAGGCCAGACCACAAAGGCACCAATTAGGCCACAGCCCCGGCTGGCCTTAAGATGGCTGCGATGTGTCCGCTCCGTAATGGCTGTAATTAATTGCTGTAATTGATTTATTGGTAGTAGGGATGCAAGTCCCCGGCGGTGAGGGAGTGCGGCAAACGCAGATCCCAGCCTCTGACTCCTATAGCCCCATGCCAGCCTCACTGACTGCGAGGGTCACAGCTGCCTGCCTCTCCAGCCTCCCTCTGCTGGTATCCTTGGCAGTGGCTCTTTCAGGATGGTGGTCACAGACTGGCAAGGGGCGGGTGTGAGAGGGGGAGATGCTGGGATGAGAGGGAGGTGCAGGATGAGATGGAGATGCTGGGATGGGGGAGGTGCAGGATGAGATGGAGATGCTGGGAATGAAGTGGAGTTGAAGAGGTAAGGTGGAGATGCTGGGATGAGAGAGGGAGAAGCTGGGGTGAGAGGGAGATGCTGAGGTGAGAGGGATATGCTGGAGTGAGGAGGAAAATTATCCTTTTACTATTCCAGTGCTATGTTGGTATGGTAATTGGTTCCTCACCAAAAGTAACCAGACCATTGAGTTACTGCCACATATTCCACACAGCCACACCACCTGTACAGCTGGCAGCGTCACTCAGCGAGCCACAGCCTCACCATCTGCAGATGGTGAGAGTAGAGGTTACAGTGAGAGTAGTGCAGATGGTGAGAGTAGAGGTTACAGTGGGAGTAGTGCTGATGGTGAGAGTAGAGGTTACAGTGAGAGTAGTGCAGATGGTGAGAGTAGAGGTTACAGTGGGAGTAGTGCTGATGGTGAGAGTAGAGGTTACAGTGAGAGTAGTGCAGATGGTGAGAGTAGAGGTTACAGTGAGAGTAGTGCTGATGGTGAGAGTAGAGGTTACAGTGAGATGGTGAGATGATGATGGTGAGAGTGACGTCTTCTCAGGCTCTGTGTACATCTTGCCTGTTTCAGGGGCAACAAATCTCGCGCGTCGACACCCATCGCTGCCTCATATGTAGTAGTGCTCGCGTCGCTCTCACTCAGTCGGCGTCACATCGGCGTGGAGTACAGACACTGCTGCTGGCGCGGCTCACGCTCGCTCCCGCCACTCTCTGCACGCCTCGCTAAACCACCCTCCCCCTGCCAGTCCACTATGGTCTCGGGTCGCCCGCTAAACTTCCACCTCCACAATATTTGCATTTGTGCATACGTAGGTTTCGCGGGAGTGTGTAGTTTACATATATGTTAACGTCAAAAACTTCATATTCCGAAGTTTGGGGGAAAGAGAAGTGCTTCTTGTGAAATTTAGTCAAAATATCTATTTCCTCGAGGAATTTTAAATGCCAGTAACGAAAAGATAAGTTGCGGCAGATTAGATGAAGCGATTATATAGATCAAAATAGTAATCAGTGTGAAAGCTAAAAAATACTTCTTACAATCATCAGTAGTTATATAGACATAATTGTAAATACAGCCCTCTCGTTTGTGCTCCAATATTATCGAGAAGAAGCCAATTTCTACCGTCATTTACTCGATTGGCGAGAAAAGCCATCAGAGGGCTTCAGGCTTCGCGGGCCAGGGATGTGCCCCAAGGGGCCCAGGCCGGGGATGTGCTCCAGGAGGCCCAGGCCTGGGATGTGCTCCCGGAATGACAGGGGACTACTCAGACCAGTGAGATGCCTCATGGAACCAAGGCCGATGGCGTGCCTTATGGATCCCAGGCCAGAGATGTGCTCTACAGATCCCAAGCTGGAGATGTGCCCTAAGGATAGCAGGACGCCCAGGTCGGGGATGTGCCTCCGGGGTACCGGGGGTCCCAGACCGGGCCCCCAGAGGGGTGCCGCCTGGGTCGGCGTGGCCCTCGCCGCCCTAGTGAGTTCAACTCTTCTCCAAGTCGCCGCCGCCACCAAAGGTAGGCTCCCGTATACGCATGTGCTCATCATGTGGATTCTTACGCCGCCTACACTGTTGTATTCATTGTAACACGTGATAATACTGGTAGCTGCTGAGGAATACTCACGTCCTGCGGTGGGGAACACTCACGTCCTGCTGTGGGGAATACTCACGTCCTGCTGTGGGGAATACTCACGTCCTGCTGTGGGGAATACTCACGTCCTGCTGTGGGGAATACTCACATCCTACTGTGGGGAATATTCACGTCCTACTGTGGGGAATACTCACGTCCTACTGTGAGGAATACTCACGTCCTGCTGTGGGGAATACTCACGTCCTGCTGTGGGGAATACTCACGTCCTGCTGTGGGGAATACTCACGTCCTGCTGTGGGGAATACTCACGTCCTGCTGTGGGGAATACTCACGTCCTGCTGTGGGGAATACTCACGTCCTACTGTGGGGAATACTCACGTCCTACTGTGGAGAATACTCACGTCCTGCTGTGGGGAATACTCACGTCCTACTGTGGGGAATACTCACGTTCTGCTGTGGGTGAATATTAACATTCTACAACCGAGAATATTTATGGCATATTGAGAAATATTAACGTCTTGTTGTTGGTAATATTCACGCCCTCCTGTGAATAATTAATTTACGTCATGCCGCTGGTAATAGTATTGTCCTGTTACGGGTAATATTAACGTCCTTCTGTGGGTAATATTCCTGTCCTACTGTGGGTAATATTCACGTCCTACTGTGGGTAATATTCACATCCTGCTGTGGATAATATTCCTGTCCTACTCTGGGTAATATTCACGTCTTTCTCTTATCAATATTCACGTCCAGCTATGAATAATATTCGCGTTCTGCTGTGGGGAATTTTCACTACTTACTGTAGGTAATATTCATGTTTTGCTGTGAGTTATATTTACGTCCTACTATGGGAAATATTTACGTCCTACTGTGGGAAATATTTACGTCCTATCGTGGGAAATATTTACGTCCTACTGTGGGAAATATTTACGTCCTACTGTGGGAAATATTTACGTCCTACTGTGGGAAATATTTACGTCCTACTGTGGGAAATATTCACGTCTTGCTGTGGGTAATATTCACGTCTTGCTGTGGGTAATATTCACGTCCTGCCATGGGTAATATTCACGTCTTGCTGTGGGTAATATTCACGTCCTACTGTGGGAAATATTTACGTCCTACTGTGGGAAATATTCACGTCCTACTGTGGAGAAATATTATTGTATTGATGTGGGCAACATTAACCATATGAACAATATTCCCAGAGATATTGTGCTGCACAGTATGGGGTCAGTGATCCCAGAGATATTGTGCTGCACAGTATGGGGTCAGTGATCCCAGAGATAGTGTGCTGCACAGTATGGGGTCAGTGATCCTAGAGATAGTGTGCTGCACAGTATGGGGTCAGTAATCCTAATGTGCTGCACAGTATGGGGTCAGTAATCCTAACGTGCTGCACAGTATGGGGTCAGTGATCCCAGAGATAGTGTGCTGCACAGTATGGGTAAAAGTCGGCATTGACATATTACCACAGGAAGCAACGACAGTATTGTATTCTTTCATTGAAAAAACTACTTCAGCGAGACTGTGCACGAGTACAGTGCTCCTAGGCACAGTAAGCGGCCGGGCTGAGCACTGAGACGCATCTCGCTTAATCTCGAGGCTGAAACAAATTGTCTGTAGTCACAGAGGTGTAAGAAACAGCGCGCTACTCCTCACAACGCTCTGCTTACCTCATCTTTGCGTCAGATGAGACACAGAAAGGTGTGTGTCGCAACATTATTAAAATCTTATATCGCGAATGTTTGGTCAGTGGTGTGACCTACAGTGTGACCTACAGTGTGACCTGCAGCCAGTGTGACCTGCAGTCAGTGGTGTGACCTACAGTGTGACCTGCAGTCAGTGGTGTGACCTGCAGTGTGACCTGCAGCCAGTGTGACCTGCAGTCAGTGGTGTGACCTGCAGTCAGTGTCAACGAAAACAAATAATTATAATTAATAACCTAACCCGACATTTAAACACAATGCACAAATATAATGTCAATGACCTTAAGGCGTCGGTTCCAATAATTATATGCGACCATTGTAGTCAACGTCATACTCTCTGGAGGAAGTTACCGTCAATATATCACCGTAAATAAGAAATTTGGGACGTTACCGTCAAAGAAATTTAGGAAGTTACCTCAATATATCATCGTAAGTAAGATATTTAGGAAGTTACCGTCAAGATATCACCGTAAGCAAGATATTTAGGAAGTTACCATCAAGATATTTAGGAAGTTACCGTCAAGATAGCACCGAAAGTAAGATATTTAGGAAGTTACCGTCAAGATATCACCGTAAGTAAGATATTTAGGAAGTTACCGTCAAGATATCACCGGAATTAAGAACTTAGGAAGTTTCCTTCAATATCACCGGAAGTAAGGTTTGAAGGAAGCTATCGCCCACCTTCTTGTATCACTGATATTTTGATTGTTGTCGTTGAAGTCATGTCTTCAAATCAGTTGTTGTTTTCATTTAAGATGTAATTAAAAAAACTGTTACTTTAAGTTTTTAGTTTAATATATTAGGACTTAGAGTCTTCTGCTCTCTAAACAATAAAGAGCTTCATATTTTTTTTAGGTTTTAAATTTAAAAAAGCAATTTTATGCCATAAATGCTTTATCTATAAAGACACGTAAGAAAGTGAATGAACGGAAATGTATAATATTTCACGTGAAACTGCGTATGACTGAATAAAGTATATCATATATATATAAACTTATGAAGATAATAAAGTGAAATGCACCTTTATGACATGTTGTATGACAAGCCTCTATGTACAATAGATATTTACGTAAAGCGGAAGTTAGACACTCGTCTAAGGATAAGACGCTCTACCGGCCGTCATCAAGACGGGATAATCTTGCCGTGTTGGGCTCGTCAGTGTCAGCCGTGAGATGATAGACCATTTTGGCTTCAACGGTGATCACTTGTATGCAATAAACAATGCAATGTAATAGCGCGATCGCTCGGACCCGTTGGTTTTTGTAAGGTGTTTGGGCCGAAGACATTTTGATAACTGCGGCAGCGCCTGATGTTATCTTTCCTCAGTATAACAAAGACTTAAAATATTGGATAGATAACGTACCTCTATCCGCTATCTGGTTTTATAATAAAATTTTAATTAGTAACTGTCTTTTTCTCTTCAGCTTAGATTCTTTCCCCAGGCTCGGCTATTACTGTTAGACGCAAACGTCTTGTTAATATCGTCCCTAAATGGTTACATTTTCTCCATCTATAATCATCTATAATATTTCCTCCAAGCAGCAAGATCTCATTTTTGCTGAGTGGGTTGGGATGGGTTGGTTGGCCGTTACGTTTAGCTGGGTTAACTTGGGTTGGGTTAGATGGGGCTGGTTAAGATTTGGCCGAGAATAAGTTGGATTGGCCAGGAATTGGTTGGATTGGTTTCGAAATGGCTGGATTAGGATTGGTTAAGTTGGTATGGTAGTAAATGGTCTGGGACTCATACTCGCTCCCTTCAGCGTGGTGTTAATACCTTCCAATCTCAGCTAAGAACTGATTAGGGTTACGCGTATGCATGAGAAAAAAAAATGCATTATATATATATATATATATATATATATATATATATATATATATATATATATATATATATATATATATATATAAGAAAAAAGAGAGTCACAGCTTCCTTTTGGATGGTTAACCGGAACACCTTGTTTCCTCAGGACAGCTGTAGTCACATTTCACCCGGAAATTTCTGTTCAAAATGCGTTCAGGAAAAATCTGTTGTGACGTTCAGTGCATGTTAATCTTTCCCGGAACTAGATTATTGGAATCTGGGCGCTGAGGTGTGTTGTCACAGGTGGGTACTACATACCCGGAGACGGTGTAGTGGGCATGTGGCTGTGTAGCCGTCCTGCCCATGATGAACCCTCTCTCCTCCCCCCTGATTACAAATGTTATTGGTTACATTTATTTATCCGAATATGATAAATAGTTGAACAACAAAATAATGATCGGATTCCTGGGAATAAACTGTGTGGGTTGAACATGTTTGAACAAGAGAACATAAAAACTTAAACAATCTCGAATTCATGATAGTTTTTTGTTTCATTTTAATTTAATTAAAGATAAGAGTCATGGGTGCTTCTCCTTATCTGATGTGACCCGTAGTGCAGTGGGCTGCGCAGTCGCCTCACAACCGAAACTTCCCAGATGTGATTCCCTGGCAGGTCGAGACATGTAGGCACGGTGGGAATGAATGGTGTCCAACTACTTGGACGGATGGGGATTGAACGCCGATCAGCAAGAAGCGAAAATGTTGCACTACCGTCCATTACGGACGGTAGTGCAACATTTTCGCTTCTTGCTGATCGGCGTTCAATCCCCATCCGTCCAAGTAGTTGGACACCATTCATTCCCCCCGTCCCATCCCAAACCCTTAGCCTGACCCCTTCCAAGTGCCATGCAGTCGTAATGGCTTGCCGCTTTCTCCTGATAATTACCATTACCTTGCGAACGTTTCCTCCTGATGCCTCTGTTTACTTCGCCATTAGTAGACGAATTACGCCACTAATCTTCCAGCCGCAATGCGTCAACTTTATCCCAGCCATCACAGCCCGGCGGGATGACCGGGATGCTCTGTCTCCGGGTTATTAGTGAAGGTTGGGGGTTGTTACCAAGGTTGTTACAGGTGAAGGTTGTTAGTGTGACCCAGACAACACTCGCAAGGTTCACTAGCACCTGTCTGAGGATGTGTAAGGAAAAGTGCGAGGAAGTGTGAGGATGTGCGAGGAAGTGTGAGGATGTGCGAGGAAGTGTGAGGATGTGCGAGGAAGTGTGAGGATGTGTGAGGAAATGTGAGGAAGTGTGAGGATGTGAGGATGTGTGAGGAAGTGTGAGGAAGTGTGAGGATGTGTGAGGAAATGTGAGGATGTGTGAGGATGTGTGAGGAAGTGTGAGGATGTGCGAGGAAGT